AAAGGTGAGCTTTGCATATCGCGAACACGGTGAACGTCTCCATTTGAGACTCTCTACACAATCCGACAGTGCTCAAACTACGCACGCGCAGTGAGCGTAATATACAAAGTGTATATACAATGTGCCCTCCCGGCTATCACCGTATTATACGGTGACTCCTGCACTTGGGACACAGGACGTACGGTTACACATTGTATGGATTGTATTGTATATATATATCTGGAATGATAATGACAATACATTTTATAGATATAAAATTGAAGCCAAAGTCCTAGTCTCTTGCGCGGTTTGTACGTCAGTTCCAGTCCTTCAAAGTCGCATATTCACGCGGTTTGTACGTCAGTTTCATTCCCCTGAGTGCTAAACATACACGGCCAATATAAATTTGAATACAAATTGCAAAAGCATAAACATATAAACAACATCACGACAAACAACACACGAGGCCAACTCTTCGCAAAAAGTTATTTTTTACAGCTGAAACTTTACTACAGTGAGTTTGTTGTAACTTACAACTTAAAACAAGAAAAAGCCAACTGAAAATTACACTGTATGCTAAAAAGACAATACAATAAGAAAATATGACGTGAAAATATTCAAGCAAACATTTTTCTTACATCGGAAGGTCAAACGGTGTTAAACGGTGTCAAACGGTGTTAGACAGTGTTTGTCTTTTTTTTTGTCGATTCAGTGGATTTAAAGATTTGTTTTTCCGAAGAAAAAAGAAACTTGAATATCCAGTTTCATAAAAAATATTGAGTCTATAACTCTCATTTTTACTTTTTACAGAGCGATTGTATTTTTCATCGATTTTGATAGTGCTTGAAATACTAAATGATTGTCATCTCGATATCAATTATTGAATATTCTTAAAGACTTTGATTTGTTTTAAAGGAAAACCACAGCGTTAAGAGCAGATCGACTAAGTTCACCTCACTTTGCTTCTCGATTTATCACTTTGATTCACTTTCCGTGAACCTTTTCATTCCAAAATTTCTTATTTTACGCTCTGATAAAGATCCGAACTCTATCATTACCAAGGGACAAATGATTTAAAAAATTTAAATGAACATGCGAGAGACTTGAGCCTGGCGCGTGATGACGAATGATGACGACAAATATTTTTGGCTTCAATTTTGGCTTCGGTTATCATTCCAGTTATTCAAATGTTGAGTTCACTGGTACGCCTACGAGTACGATTTACGTCATTTTGGCGCGAAAACATTGTTTGTTGCGACAACAAAAACACGTAGCCGTCATCAATCTGAGTACGATGTTTTGTAAAAAATTCTTAGTCGCGACTACGATGTCTTTTTAAGCAAAGAAAGTAGGTATATTTCTTCATTCTGTAAGAAATTAGTTTACAGTACTATTTTCGAGCATCCAGGCTTTAATTTAGAACCCTTTTGAGCGCAGATGTACATTAAAAGGAAAATATGACCTGCAAAACTTTCATGTATTTCGTACGCAAAGTGAAAGGTAAACAAACAATAAAATAGTACAAATATATCGTACATAAAACTTAAAATAGTGAAGATTTTTCAGTCTAAAGAGTCCTATATTCTCGCAAAACCAGTACTGTCGATTCTTTGATATCATGATTGACAAATAGAGCCGTAGCTGCTTCGCACACGTCGGTGTTTTACACAATAAAAGTCTCTTTCTGTTGTTTACAACTAAAGCAAAATTTTGAAGAAGCGACAAGGACAACAAACTTCCTCGTGCCATTCCCTTACACGGTCAAATTTCGTACTCGTTCTCGTAGTCGTACTCTTGCTAAAACTCCCTAATGTTTCCCTAACTTCCAACATGGCGAAGCATTCTTGCAAAGGTTGCTGGGATCAAAATGGGATCAAAATGTAAAGCCAAAACCAAAACCCGGCATCCGATACAGTGATCCAATCCTGTAATCCACCTGATCATACGCTTGAAATTCAAGTCCGTAAAGTAAATCGCTACTCGATAATCCGCAAACTTTTAAGTGCGGCACGCCAATATTTGAATGAGCAGAAACGGTTGCAATAATAAAAAAGTACAAAATACGAGCTCGTTATTATACTGCTCAATTAGCAGAGCATGACAGCCCACTCTACAGTCTCTACTATGCCAAGGATAATTCCACATAGTTTTTCTGATTTTGTATGCTTATACGCGCATGCGTACAGTTAAACGCAGAACAGAAGGAAGACGGCAAGGCAGTTATATCTTCATTAGATCGATTTAACAGACCATCAGTAACGCCCGAGGAAACCTTCTCAGAGGGATTCTCCCACACTAAATTCTGAAATGATAGTGGATAGCTGAGGAAAAAAAGCAACATTAAGGAATTCTTGACTTGCTATCAATCTCTCTTGGGATATACCGAATCTCAGGCAGTCAAACACCAAAGGAGATGATCGTGTATTGAAGGAATGAAGAGTATTGGGGAGACAAAATAGTTTGAGAAAGTTGAGCAATACTGTGAAAAAGTTGAACAGAAAAATAATGTTAATATATTCCATTTTGACTTTTCTGAAGATGAGCTGAATGTCAAAATAGAAAAAACATCAGAAATAGGAAAATTGAAAACTCCTTCTTTCCTATATTTTCGATTTTTTTGAAAACACAACTATGTAACAAAACTTTCATGATATTTCTACTTTTTTATAAAAAAATAAACTGGTTTGTAAAGTAAACATGCGAACAACGAAATTAAATTTTGCGTATGTCTACAGTCTTGCTATCTACAGTCTTGCTAAACACAAAAATAGATTAAATACTCCATCTCCATGGGCGAGTTCATCAACGCTGTATAAATATAGAATGCATTACTTTTAAGATACATGACTAAGCTATTTACACAAAAAACGAGTAAAGACTTTGCGGCAATTCAAAACGATCTTGGCTTTATCTCATCATAGTAACCCAAATGATAAGTTTGATACTTCAAGGCCATTTTTGACTTCAGACATCTGGAATGCTGTCAATATGTATGGACAACAGTTGTATGACCCATTGCTAGTGGGGCAATGGTCCGCACATCAGTTAAGCTATAAATCATCGCTCAATAGTCCACTGAAACTGATAATACTCAATGGCCTTAAAAATCGATTGACTAAACTCGCTTTATCCAATTTACGTCTATGGTTAACCTTTCTATAAAGACATACCAGCGTACTGTGATTTGAAACTGTAACACTTAGAATAACAACAGCGCTGTAAAACCATTTAGAAAACCTATACGGAGTTGCTTTATCATGGAATGTGTAATGATGATAAATTTTGCATCCAAACGTAAAGTGAGTGGTAACTACTGTTTCTCATTTTTATCGAAGAGCTTCCAAAAAGCTTCCTTCATTCTCGGTTTCAATGACAACAGCGCTATTATCATTTTTCTCTAAAATTAGAGGTCAATTACAACCTTGAAAAACTTGTCAAGGAGGAAAGCGAGCAGAATAGGTCATTTCAAACTTCGCATAGGAACTGTTTTAAAAACAGCTGTACAACATGCGATTGCTTGACGATAAGTATTGCCGAGACAGATAAAGATTAAGACAACGGTTTCAATACCTCAGCAGTACGATATAGATTGTAGACTCTCGCCTCTGTCAATACTACAATCGTTGACGCTGCTAACGCTTTCGTCACTACCTTGATGACCCATCTGACTATCAAGATCACATAGCGGATTAATGTAATCCTCTTCAACGTCATAGAAAGGATTATCGAAAGCCAATCTGTAACCGTTATGGCGGATGCCCCGCGTTCGCAACTCTATCTCCATCTCCGCTTCGTTTTGCCGTTTTTTTCTCCGATTTTATTTTCTTCAAACGTCGCTGACGTTTACGGCAAAACCACAATGTTATCATCAAAACCACCAGGCCAAGAGAACCTGAATGAGACACGCATTGAACATGAAATAATATCCACCCAAGGCCATCTTTTTGGCTATTTATATGCGAAATTGCCTGTCATAAAGAAGGTAGGAAAAAACAACAAGTCTTACCTCCACTCGCGCCAATTACCAGCGGAGAGTACACTGAACCCGGGACGGAATTCTCTGAATAAACACCCCGGAATAATAAGTACATCCAAGGATATTGCTTACAGCTTCTTCATCCAAACATGAAATCACATCCTTCACAATGCTACCCTTAAGTAGGATCTCGCCATCGAACATCACCATATTAATTGCGACAACTTCTTCAGAGCCATCCGATGTCAATCCGGGTTTGAGATCTGAAACGACAAGCTTAAATTACAGAGAGCATTCTGTATTTCATATCCAACAATAGATGCACTTCATCGATTCTGATATTACACTTCAATCACGAATTCTCAACAATAACTTGCAATTGCAATTTGCAAAGTGAAATAATGCGTTCCATCGCGAGCAACTAAAGTTATGTAATACATTACTATCGTTTACAGCACTTTTCTATACCGATGAACTTACTTTTAGCGTGCGTGAAAAGATTGGTATATACGAAGGGAATTTGACAGTGAGAAGTATTCAAATTATATCTACTTATCGATAGCAAAAAATACCATATCGATTTATTAAAGTTGACGGAGCCTCCAAAGATGAAAATTTAAGATCAAATTGAGCAGCTTATAAACGAAAGGCAGATGTTGCCGATAGCTGTGAAGGTAAGCGCTTCTTACCTAAAATACATGCAACAAAGTCGTGCCTAGTTGCAGGTTGAATTGTTTCCGTTATCTGCGTGCTGACGATGCTTATATTTCCATGAATTGACGTGACCGGAATCCTTCGTCTCGAGAGATGACGTAGTTCCTCATACATGTTATTGTATTTGGCTATCAAAACGGCAACATTGAGTTTCAACTGTTTTCGCCGTACCATCTCATCGAACTTTGTGAAGTTTTCCTTGATGACGATTTGAAACCTTCCCACACGCGTTAGATAACAAGCACCAGTCACGTGATGGCACACGTGATCAACATCACAATCGCAGCGCTTTCCGCAGTTCTTTCCATAATTCTTCAGCATGCAATCACTGTCACACAAATGTCCTTCGGTAACCTGGAGAGCAGGGGCAACGGCCGTCAATTTTATAACACGTGCCGATCACGTGTCGGGAACAAACCGGGCAAGGATGTTTGCAATCTTCACCATAAGTCCCATCTTCGCAGAACTAATACATTTAAAGGAAGATGTGTTAAATATTGAAGTAAGATGGAGACATGAATAGGAAGAGGTGCCTGTTGACAAGTGGCACCTCTGTAGCCATCGTGGCAAAGACATTGCCCGTTATCACCTCGAAATTTCCTTGTCTGATTCCACTCACACGAGTACTTGTTTTGACATTCAATGCCCCATAAACGGTCGGGACACTTGTCCTTACAACGACTCCCTGTGAATTCCGAAAGACACAGACATTTCCCATTTACTTTATCACATGACGCACCGTTTTCACACAGATAGACTCCTACAGAGAAAATCCATATCTAATCACGTGACTGTAGTCCTAGAGTGATCTCATAAATCACCATCTGCACAGACATAGGTTATTTGACTTCATCTCATGTAATTGAAAAAATGCATCCCAAAAATACAAACATACCTAAACAGTTCGCACCAAACTTTCCTTGAGGACAGGGCTTTTCACATTTTCTTCCAATAAAACCTTTCGTGCAATCACATGTTCCGCTCATGTGATGACAAGAAGCCTCTTTTGCGCACTCGCAGTCCAATGCACAATCCTGACCGTATTTACCTTCCGGACATTCATTCTCGCAATGGTAGCCATAGTAACCAGGTAAGCAGATGCATTTTCCTGTCACGTGATCACAGGAAGACGACTGACTCTGGGCACACATACTGCAAGTGTCAGTACAGTTCACCCCAAACGTCATTGGAGGGCACTTGTGTTCGCATTTATCCCCTATAAACCCCGCCAAGCAGATGCACCGACCATCATGTAAACAAACTACACTTTGTTTGCAATCAGTAAATCAACTAACACTTTGATTTACTGTCGAATGTCCATCATGTTTATGCGTTATGCGTTATGCATTTGTCAATTGTACTTTTCTTCAATGCCCTAGTCCCGTTTAAGATATACCTTACCCAAAAAGTTAACGCTATTGAAATCGACCTTTTGTTCATAACAAAGAAGATTTTCTCGTCTAGTAATCATGACTGTGAACAGCAGTTTATGAATAATAGCGCTTTATGCGATTGCTGGGACATGTTTCATGTAAAAGCCATTTTCTTTAAATCACCAATGTTATCTTTAAGATCTTTTGATTATTCTACTCTCACCTGGTGATGGAGTGGGTTAGTTTCTGTTCTGTCATGGTGTAAGTAATTTGACTCATCAAACAGCATTAATTTTATCATGAAGCATATGCTAATTTGGGGGATATAGAATGCAATGAATGTGGGCTAGTGACGCCATACGTCATCGTAATTATGCTATTTGCATATCCTACATAAGTTTTGATTTGTTCGTTTGTGGTCATTCTTCATCGTGACGTGCTGGAGGCTTCTCAAAGTTTATAAAAAAAATGGCAAAGAGTAGGAGAAACCTCAAAATAAAGAGGAGTCCTCAAAAATGCAGAAAATGCAAGAATCACGGCGTACTCGCCGATTTAAAAGGACACAAAAAATATTGTAAATATAAACATTGCAAATGCAATGCATGTAAAGTAATCAATGATGAGAGAAGGAAGACGGCTGCAAGAATAGCTGTATCCAGAAAAGGCAAGTGTTTGCTCGAATCAGATGGTATGTTGCACAACAATCTATACTTTCTTTTCTAATGTTAAATTAATAGAACATTTGATTTTCCCAATAATTCATGCACAATATGCGATGTTTGTTTGGTGAAAGATTAAAAATCATTTCGTCCAACTAAACAAATTTTGTTTTCTTATCTTCAATTTCTCTAAAGTGATGTTAGCTAGCAAACTGTTTTTTCACACATCGTTACGATAGACAAAATCTTTCAAAAACTATTTGTGTAAAACGAACAGACTCACTTGAATGGCACTATCGCAGACAAAAATGAAACATGTGTTAGAAGCATTAGTTACGACATAATCCTGGGTCGAGAGAAAAGATTTTATTCCAGAATGAGAAATATTTCATTCAAAAATCATACGAAAGTTATTTACGTTGTTCTTTCTGTCATTGGTGTAACCTGTTCTGAGCAAATGCCACCGCTATAGAAAATTACCATTTTTCATTTCTATAGAACTTTTATCATTTTGAAATGAGTAAAACCAAAAATATTATCTATGTTACAACAACCACCACTTCGCCAATAAGAAGCACTTTTAATTGGAATTTTCATTTACCGCGTGGTAAAAACTTCGCGCCAGGGACGCCGGACTTTTACAATGTCCGAGTACAAACGTTTAGACATGATTTAAAATCGATGTGATTAAAGTATACTTTCAAGCTGTAACTGACGCACTGACTAACTTGTAACTGCTTCTAACCTCAGGTTAATAAAGTCCTGAGAAGGACTGTTTTTGTTGTTGTTGACTGACGTTTCGACAACCTTAGCGGTAGTCATCGAACGACAAGGTGCACAATTAAGGTGCAGTTTACAAAATAAACTGCTCCGACTGCCACGCCTCCTATATCGGGGAAACTGGTAGGAACTTAAACATAAGACTTACTGAGCACAAACGAGCTAATAAGAAACAAGACAAAACTAATCACAATGCTGAACATCACCGAATCACAAAGCACAACATTGACTGGGATTCGGCAAAATGCATCATTTACAGTACTGACTATAGACAGGGGCGTAACTAGACTTAGAGTAATGGGGGGTGTGGAGAAAATTTGCCCTGCAAAAGGGCGTTGCCCACAAAAACAAGGACATGCATTACGATTTCTTGAGTAAACATTATTTCTGAGGACAACGTTTCAGCGACAGTTTTTTTGCAGTGGTTAACATTTTCAGCCAATATGTTTAATTCAGCTACACAATTTTCTCATGACAGGTGAGATTTCTCTCTCTTCTTGTTCGTTAACAGATTATTCTTCATCAATCTAAAAAAGACCAAAATATAATTACTTTAGAAATAATAATTTTAAAAAATTAATTTAATTATTTCAATGTCATATTCAGATATTACAAACCACATCCATATTTTCCTCTTCCTCTGAATCAACTTCATTTATCTTGTTATCTATTTCAAATATTTCCTGGCATACATTGTGTATTTTTTATGCCACTTCAAGGTTTTCCAGCAAGGTAGCATTTTTAAACAGTATTTAACGTTAGAAAACGATGCATTGCCTGAAGATTGCTTTGGCATGAAACCCAGACTCCCCGAGTAGCAACATTTAAGAAATGTAATTTATTAAATTATATATACATATATATATAAAATAGACAATAGCTGTAGTTTTTTCGGAATTTCACGCAGTAGGGCGATCTTCAGGCAACTGACAGATTATTTATTATTCACTGCATATACAATTCGTTACTAGGTGTTAAATTAACGACGGCATGCACTAAAAAGTTCAGAGCGTTTATTTAAAATTTACTTTTTATGTCCTTTTAGGATTATTAGTCTTTTTTCAAAACAAACATGGCAGGTTTTTCAGCTTTGTTCGGAGGTGGAAGTTGTTTGATGAAGTCCCTCTTGATGCTGTAGTTTTGTTTGTTTTCTTTCTGTACCCACGTGTTTTTATAAATCATATATAAACAAGTGTATATACAATGTGCCCTCCCCGCTATCACCATAGTGCAATTGTGACTCCTGCACTTGGGACAGAGGATGTACGGTTAGGGTTAGGGTATATATGTGCAAATGTGCTATTACAGATTTACAAATCATGAGAGTTTTTGAATGTAACCTTTTGTGATATATAAGTATCATTGCAGAATTTTTGTTTTACACTTTTGACTTCTTCATGCATTTCATCAAAGCTATCACATGTGACAGGGGCAGTTGGAAGGATCTAAAATAAATAAGAATACATTGAAACTTTATGGTATGAGTGTCCTTCACAATAACAGAGATAGTTGCTGCTGCAACAGTGCAGAATAACAAAGTTTTGTGCAACACGAATTATCAATTATTTCACATAAATTGAACGGCACTTATACAGAACTAACCAGCAATTTTCTAAGAGATCTATAACGCATGCTAAAGACTTTCATTTTATTTACCATGTACATATATAAGTAAGTGACATTTTACTAACCTTAGAAAAATGAAGCATTGTTTGTGATGCTTCTACAACATCTTGGGATTTTGCCATACCATTGTGTTTATTTGAACTGTGCTTCAAAAAATTATCAGCATTCATTTCTACACCACAATCTTTACATTTAACCTTTCGTCTATAAATTCGTGTACGTTGAGGTTTTGTTTTTTTGCGGGCTCCTGAACGTTTTCATCTATAACTCTAGTTGCGCTCCCTCTTAAGAGAAATTTCAATTAAATTAGAAATGTATCTGAGTAAACATCAAAATTATGACAGCGTACAATGAACTCACAACTCTCCTTCGGTAATTGTGGGTCTACAAACTTCGGTAAATATAACTAACCTTCCATTGAAAAGTAGTCTTTCTCGCCCTAATATACAAAACCGCATAGAATTTGACGAAATTATTGGATTAAAGCTCGCTTCACGGCTTTCGACAATGCAAAAATTAGCATTAGCATGTTTTTACATTTGCAATCATTGTATCTGTTAGATTTTGTGATGTAGCCATCTACCTTCTTTAGTATATATTGACTTACACCAACAAATAGAGATATTACAGATAACTGTTATGATCACATTTAATGTTCAACGTCAATGTCTATGGTCAACGATCTATCCTACAATGGTTAAATTACTTATATTTATACAAGATATTACGTGTGGATATATTTGTTTCTTTACTAAATATGGTTAATTTACAATCAACGGAAAGCTATTAGGAACTATAAAAAATATTGTGATTATTGCATATAACTATCTCTTAAAACAATCAATTAGTTAGTTAAACTTGACTTGATTATTTACTAATTACAGGAAGAATATGAGAGCATATCTTAACAGTATCCAGCGGAATCTGTACCTGCATTTATAATTACTTCATCTTACACATCTCACAGACACATTGCACTGTAGAATTAAGCCAAAATTGTCAAAAATGAAGGTTTGTTATTTCCACTTAGTAATCATTTAGTTGTTTTCGATGGTATGGCAATTTTTCTACTTCCTGAACACTGCCCTGTCACTTGACGGCAATATGCCCTGCTAAAACACAGCTTTCAGCAATTGGGGGGTCCCCCCACACACACCCCCCAACAGTTGAGCCCCTGACTATAGACAACGGCTTACATTAGAAAGTTGGTATACCAACTTGGAACAAACCCCCTGAACAGATCACAGCAATCACCGGCACCTTACAAACGACTTATTCACAATACAAACAAACGATCAACTAAAAACACTACACTTCAAACTAATTCACAATGACAATACACAATTGACACCCACACATTACAACTAAATACGTCACACCTAAATCACACATCACAACTAAAAATAAAATATTCCACTTCACACTGATCTACAATGACAATACACAATTCCTGTACACACAATACAATGACGAAAGAACCAGATAACAAATACGGCTAACTTGACGTTTACTCCTCATTTGACTCTGAAGATGACTACCGCTAAGGTTGTCGAGACGTCAGTCAACAACAACAAAAACAGTCCTTCTCAGGACTTTATTAACCTGGACGATCGTCATTTACAAATATATAATTGAAATATGCATGTTTAATTGCTTTAAATAATGAGGTCAAAAAATAAATCCTGAAAGATAAAGATCGTACAAACAGACGTTCGTCTTACATCTGCGTCCGCCGTCCGCGTCCTTCGT